GTTCTGCTTCTATGCCCCAGCTTTGTTTACTATTACAAAACTATATACAAAACTCGCTGTTTACATGGGAACAGTAATTACATTTAATTGTAATCATATATTTTAAGTAAATGTAACTAAGCTGTGTTAGTAAATACTAAAGAGAATATAGTTAAATTACATTAGCTAAAATCATCTTCTTGGATCTACTGACAACAGGTTCAATTAACTTGATTAATGATTAAGTTTAGCTCACTAAATACAAATGATGAGTATTAATATTAGAAGCTTATGTTCATTGTACAGCGTAGCTGCGCCGTTTAAGTTTTCAGGTCAAATAAAGTCAAGTTGCTTTAGTAAAGCGACAAGTCAACAGACAAGTTTAGGTCTGTTGGGCCAACAGACCTAAACTCCTTTGTCCCGCACGCCGTCGCACTGTTTAACTCCTCGCTGGAGGGGAGGGGGAACAGGAGGACAGGGGAGGGCAAAGGAGGGCAAAGGAGGGCGGGGACAACTGAAAAAACAAAACTAAATAAGAACCAATCACTGTGCAATACACATTCTGGCTGCTACGTAGCTTATTTATATCTGCTGTATTCAAGCTTATATTCCCGTTTTCCCCCTTTAATTTTCATTCTAATTTTTTACTACTATGCAAATTTCTGTCGGTGCTCTGCTACTGCAAACTGAATTTCCCGGAGGAACCTCCCCGAGGGATTAATAAAGCTCTGTCTAAACCTGACTTTATTAAACTCTGATTTAGAACATTGTCCAACAAGGCATCTAACAGAAAAGAAAACATGCACACAACATGTATCGGTAGTTAATGCATGCTGTGTACTGAGAAAAAAAGTACACAGTTACAAAAACTGCATATGTACCTAAGTATACCCCATGTGAAGAAAATAAAGATGCATAAAAATGAAAGTTCCTTATCAGTGAATGTCTCACATGATGATCTGATAATCAAGTTTTATTATTTTTAAAGGTTTTACACCTGAATCAGTTCAAACTAGCCCCCTGCTCTCTTAACTATAGCTAACTCCGAAGGTTTAAGTTGTTTACACTTAGACTCATTCTGACACTTTAAACACAGCTATAGTCTTCTGTAACACTGTAACAAACATCCTTCCTATAAAATACACTTAAATATTTATATTTCACGACAACTTACCAAAAATGCAAAGTAGAGCCAACTGACGTGAGTCTGTGCTGATTTACAGTAATGTGAAAAGAGTCTAGCATGAGGACAGTTGGCATTAACAAGGGAACATCTCTGACGCCTGGTTACAGAAGTTAAACAAAATATTTGATTAGAAAAAGTAAATGTTAAACACATTGTTCCCCATCCTATTTTAAACTTTTTTTTCTGCTCACAGGTGAGATGGACAGCACATGCTCATTATAGATCAACCAAATATTTGTCTTTAGATTAGATTTGGGGTTTTTCCCTGGAAATGCTCAGTTTACTCTGCCGGGTAAGCATCACCGGTCCACTCTCCTTTGTTACAGGATATATTTTACACAAGTATTTGGAAAGAAATGTGACCCTCAGACCCACCTGCATTGTAGGCAATCAATTATTCATTACAGTCATTACAGTCAGCTTAAATGCTGTATTGAGGCTAAACCAACACATGGACTCTGTGGGAGACAGTTTTTCAACACTGCATGGCCCATATTTATCTTCCCTTTTAACTGAAAGAGACAGACAGCATTCAAGCAAGAGAGCAATAGATGTGGAGCAAATACTGTAACATCTAAGAAGTCAAGAAGTCTTCTCTTCACCCTTCTTGACCTTCTTGACCCTTTGCATCTATCGGGTGAGACAAAGCTGAAGCATCTAACATGTGTTGACATTATGATTGTTGGCAGATCTTAAGCTAAAGCAGTGTATCAAGGGACGCGCAGGCAAGCAAACCAAATCAAAGAAGCCCCCTGTTAACATCAGCTAGTTATTGCTTTTGCCCGAATTCAAGAGATAGAAAGACCCCGCCAGTTGTATAGTACTGCGCATGTGCGAGACCGTGCAGTTCAAGGGCCAGTCCTTCTGAACTGAGACGGTAATTTGAACAGCAAAGATTTTGTAGCCTTAACATCTCACAGTATTACTTTATTACTAAGAAGCCTGCTTATCTTATTTTGAGAGTAAAAAACGAATTATGTGGCGTAAAGTCACCGTAAAAAACATGTATCCTGTAAACAACAGCAGTACTTCATTTCTTAGAGTGTGGGTTTCTACAGGCTTTCCTAATAATGTGCTCAGCAAGAGTTTCAGGTCACGTGTGAGCTCTGGAGAAAAAACAGAACCTGCAGAAACAAATAAGCGTAGAAAGCGTTTCAATGACGTCATCAAGTCTGCACGTTCATCAACGCCGTCTGTGAAAGATTTAGTTAGGGGTTGTGCCCATATGTAAACCAGGAAAGGATGATACAAAGAGCCTTACCATCTAATACCTGTAAAATAATGCAGCGAATGATACTTGACAGATTCATGTACCATATAGAAAATAAGGGATACATATCTAAACATCAAAGTGGTTTCAGAAGAGGATCCATATTGTGTTTGACATGAAGTCAGGAAAGCACAAATAAACAAAGAGAGCATAGTTGAGGTGTTTGCTGACATGGAAAAAGCCTTCAACATGGAGAGAAGGCCTCAAAGGCCTCAAAGTCAGGAAACCGGGTATCAGTGGGTGAATGTTCAGATGATAAAGGATTTATTAAGGGGAAGACAAATACAAGTGAGAATTGGGAAGATTCACTCGGAGACGTTTCCTGTAGAGAACAGTACACATCAAGGGAGCAGAGTGAGGCCTTTGTTATTTCCTTTAATGATAAATCATGTGTTTAATGACATGCAGGTGGGATGGGGGTTTCACTTTGATGGAGCGATGGGGAAGAGAGGGAAAACATTTTTATTCTTTACAATAAAAATGTTTATTGTAAAGAAACTACAGGGGGCAACTGGAAAAGTTGAAGAGTGGTCGTATAAACAGGGTTTTAAATTTTCGGTTTATAAGACCAAGGCAATGATTTTACGAGGAAAAGAGTTGGAGAGGAAGTCAAGCTTAAGTTATACGGTCAGGAGTTAGAAAGAGTTTCTTGGATTGTGGTTGGATGAAAGGGTAACATGGGCTGTACACATTCAGGGAATAATGGATAATAAATATAATGAGCTGTTTACTTGGGGTGGGCTGGAGAGCAGATAGGAAATCTTTGAGGGCCACATACACTGGGTTAGTCAAATCAGTGTTAGATTATGTGTAGCATATAATTCAGTGGCAGACACAAACCAAAGTTAGACCATATTTAGTATCAGGCACTGAGATGCTGCACAGGTGCGTTTAAAACAAGCCCAACAGCAGCTTTACAGATGGAGATGGGTGAGATGCCACTAGGAATGAGAGGAGAGCAGTTAACACTTCTGGACAGCCATGGACAGGATCACCCAACAGAAGAGGTACTAAAACCTTGCAGGAAAGAGCTTCGGATGGACTGTGACTAGGAGAGCATCAGTTCAACATCAGTCAAAGAGTGCCGTTATCAGCAATGCCTCCATGGATACTACCTGATGCCACAGGAAGTATCCATTATTGGAAAAGAAGAACAGGGACAGGGTAGTTAATTTAAACGCACATACAGGACAGGCTTATATCGACCAGTATTATGTACAAATATATACAAATGCATCAAAGAACACAGCCGGTCAAACCGGTGCAGCGTTGGTTGTTCCGGAGTTTAAAGTCAAAATAGGGAAAGGATCAGTGACGGACTGTCAGTATACAGAAGTGCTTGCAATACTGTTAGCTGTTCACTGGGTAGAAGACATGAGGCGTTTAAAGCAGTCATTTGTTCAGACTCTGACTCGTCATTGGTCAGTTTACAGAGTAGCCGCTCAGAAAGCAGATGTCCTAACAGAGGTTCAGCAACACTTCACAGAATACACATGACGGGACTTACAGGTGTGTTTTTATGGATTCCCGCTCACTGTGGAGTCAGAGCAAGTGAAAGGGCAGACAGAGCTGCAAAGGAAGCCACAGAGCATGGGGTAGTGGACCTTATTAGCCTCTGTCAGACAGAGATAACGAGTGTGGTAAGGCAAGAAATGAAGGAAACCTCAGTGATATGTAAATGAAACTGGATCTTATTGATTTACTGCAAAAGGACCCATGAAGTGAAAGCTATCAGGCCTTATTCCAGTTTGTAAAGGAGGGTAAATTGTTTGGGAGGATTTGTTTGTTTGGGGTTTTTTTTGAGCGACGGTCCAGTTCACACTCCACACCAGTTGGAGGCGGTAATGCGCCGTTTTGTTTTTTGCCAACCGCCAATAAAAGTAAGAAAAAGAAGAAGAACTTTAACTTGGAGAGACAAGAAGACTCCATCTCCCACAATGCCTCGCACACAACGACCGGCCTTGAGAGGAGAGAAGAGAACGGAGAAGAGATTGCGCTCCATCCATGGAGCTTTCCTCCGCAGCGCAGTGACGCAGAGGCAGCCGCAGACATGGTGAAGGATCAGGAAGTGGAGCGCATCGCCAGAAAGTTGGATAAAATGGTGCAGAAGAAGAGCACGGTGAGTGAAAGCAGCCGACAGGTGACGATGAGCGAGGAAGGTAACACTTTGAAATCATGACACAGTTCAGATTTCAAACTGACACACCTGGGATCAGCTCAGAGCTAATCACCTGCAGTCAGGTGATTAGTGATGTCATTACATGGCGCAAAACATTCAAACTGTAGTTTCCTGAAGTCCAAATGTGACCAACGTGTGCAGGTCAGCATGATGCAGACAGACCTCTGAGGCTGTAGGCTTGAAGCTGTCAGCACATACTCTGTGTTTGTGAGGAGGTTTACTCATCAGCAACGTGCCCCACAACCACTTCCTGTTTTACATCTTCTCTACATTTCCATCATCACTCAATGAACCGTTATGAGAAACTGTAGTATTATTATTCGCTGACAGACTGATGTCAGTCGGGCTGGATAAAATCCTTTAGACGTTTCAGTTTGAAGCTTGAACGTCAGTGAGGAGCAGCTCTGAAGCCTTCCTCTGTCCTCCTGCTGAGATATTGGTCGAGACCCGGACACCCCGAAGCTCTTCAGTGGTGGTTTGTAGCACTTCTTCAGTTTTATATCATCTCTGTTCATGTGCAGCATCTTTAAACTGAGGGTTTAAACCTCATGGAGTAATTACAGCTCGGCTCTAAAATATCTGAATGCTCCAGAGTGGAATCAGGAATTTATTTTATAGAGTAAAACCAGGCTGCAGCAAACTAATGACTGACCTTGATGGATCATCTCAGACCTTTGTTTTCAGTACCTTCTTCCTGTCATGATGGTGTTTGTCTCCCCCCCATGAGAGAACAGTTTCACCCTCGTCCTAAGTTGTCCTGTGCTGATAAGTTTAAATTAGCCTGACTCTGCAACCAGGCACCAGGAAGCACATGTTTGTCAGCTGACCTGACTTGATGAGCCCCCCTGTTGGCATCGCTGTTCATTTTTTGAGCTGGGAGAATTTTGACTATTTTTTAACCCTTGTTGTGTTTTGGCGTTGGAAAGGTTGTCAGACTGAGTGAGGACTGCTGCCCCTGCTGCAGCGTGAGTTGTCTGACTGAAGGTGGCACCGTCATGTTGGATGAGGATTGGTGAGGCTGTGATGGTGGTCCTGGTCCTGTGCAGGATCACTCAACCAAAACCTGCCGTAGGTGCAGGACTGGGTCATGAAGGAGAGGAATCTGATCATATCAAGCAGTTATTTACTGATATTGAGGACCGCCACAACACTGAGCCAGCTGATTGGGAGACATGTTAGGGAGGGGCGGGACTTGCTGGATAGGGTTATATGATAGCAGATGTATTTCTGATGGTTTGTCACTGACTTTGTTCCAATGTTTTTCTGCCTGTGAAGCCCTTTGAACCTTCAGATGTAATCCTGGAGTGAGTGATCAGCACAGATAATATCTGTGAGATGAAACAAATAGACTGTAACGTCAGCATCAGTCCATCAGGTGGTTTAAAGATCTGCATAGTTCTGTCATTCTTCAGGTTTCAGAGCCAGTTCCAGTCCAGGACCACAGCCCCACCCTGTTAATCCAAACGGCTGATGTTTAGTGGAGGGTGGCGAGCCTCAGTGCTCTGCTCAGAGTGAACCAGCTTGTTCCTACTTTAGTTTCTGAGTTTTAAAGAGTTATTGCACCGTTTCTGTTGGTTGCTTTGAGTAAACTCAATTTGGCTTCAGGTTAATCGCTGGTGAACCACCAATATTATGGTCGACAGTATCGAACCCTGCACTGAGGTCTAGCAGGCACAGAGATGAGTCCACTGTCAGAGGCCATAAGAAGATCATTTGTAACCTTCACTAAAGCTGTTTCTGTGCTGTGATGAGCTCTGAAACCTGACTGAAACTCTTCAAATAAACCATTCCTCTGCAGATGATCTGTTAGCTGTTTGACAACTACTCTTTCAAGGATGTTTGATATAAAGGAAGGTTGGTTTAACTACAGCCAGCTTGAAGGCCTGTGGTACATAGCTGATTATTAGAGATAGTTGATCATATTTAAGATCGAAGAATTAATTAATGGCAGGACTTCTTTGAGCAGTCTTGTCCTGCTTTCTGCTGTTACTCTCTTTTGCTTTACTCGCGCTCTTTGACTGTACTGAACTTTCTTCTGCTTGTCGTCTTGTCATGCAGCTCCTCGAGTTCTTGGTGAAACTTTGTTATCAAAGATAAAAGAAATATTAGCTGTGTTTTTATTCCACCTGAATGTGAAGGTGTGCTGACCAAAGAAAAATAGTATTGCACAAAGATTCAAATGTGAAGCTTTACTGAAAAACTTTAATAGTTTTTTAACATTCAGACAGAAACCTTCTTACAGTTTATCACAACACGTTTATTTAGATCAAGTAAACGATCGGTACAATAAAATGGTGGTCCTGTTTACAGGACAGTGCTCTGGACCTGCTGAGGGAACTGAAGAACATCAAGATGTCTCTGGAGACGCTGCAGGTGAGCAACTCCACAAACAATATGGCGTTACGAAAAAGCCTGAAATTCACCTGCGTGTCTGATTTAACTGAAGGTAACACAGGACTCAGTGTTCATGACTTTCAGTGTGCAGATTAAAGTCCACGAGGTTTATGAATACATTAGACCAAATCCATTTATCATTGCTGTGATTGTTTTCATTTACATCGCTGCAGAAACTTGTGTGTGTGTGTGTGTGTGTGTCTGTGTGTGTGTGTGTGTGTGTGTAGTCTACCAGAGTGGGCATGTCGGTGAACGCTGTGAGGAAACAAAGTTCAGACGAAGAAGTTCAGACTTTGGCCAAAACTCTCATCAAGTCCTGGAAGAAACTGCTGGGTGGGTAAAGAAAGACCGAAACGTGACATATGTGCCTCCAGGTGACTGTTGTCAGAATGATTTAAGTTGCATCATCAAGTGTTAGAAACCGTAATCCCGAGTGTACAAACAGGAAGTAGAATTATGGCTGCAGTCATTTGTTGGTTTTTATCTGACAGATGGTTCAGAGGAGAAGAAAAAGGACAGCTCTCCGGTCAGGTCTTCATCCACCTCCAAGGATTATGGCAGCAGTGAAAAAGGGTCTGTTGCACACTGGCGGCGGCATCACCGGCGGCGGCGTCACCGGCGGCTGCGTCACCGCTCGTCAGCTTGTTTACATGTTTGCGATCAGGAGAAAGTTTCAGTCAAATAAGAACTCTCTTCCTCTCTCCTCCTCCTCCTCAGCAGTAAATCTTCTGAGGGGCCCCCGTCCACCCCCACTTCCCCAACTACCACCACCCTCTCTCAGGTCACTTCCTTCCCCCCTGCCCCCGTAACCATGGACTGCGTGAGAAGCAAGTGTCGAGAGCTGCTGGTAGTGGCGCTGCAGACGGACGGTGAGAAGATGAAGTCTGGATGTTTTCAGACTCTGAACCATCAGATTAATCTGATTGTATCACTAAATCTGTGTTTCAGTAATCTCCTGTTTACACCTGGAATCTGTCAGAGTTGATGTCAGGTGTTTGTGGTTACGAGCATAACCAGTGTTTGTGTTTTAGATGACCATAAGGCCATCAGAGTGGACTGCGAGCACCTGGCGGCTCAAATCGAAGAACATATCCTTTCGTGTTGCGATTGCTGAAACCTGACGACTGAACAGAGGAGCATCCTCACAGGAAGGATCTCGCTTTACTAGAGCAGACTTCATTCATGATTACATGAAAGCTTCAGTATTAATGAACACCAGCAGCACTACAGTAAATGTTCGGCACGTTTTTCCAGTTCACGTTTCGCCCACACTCTTGGTCCTTGACGGCTCGCCGTGTGCACAGATCTTCCAGGAGTTTAAGTCGACAGACATGAAATATAAAACCCGTCTACGAAGTCGAATCTCCAACCTGAAAGACCAGAAGAACCCAGAACTGCGCCGCAACGTACTGTGTGGAAACATCTCGCCACATCGCATCGCCTGTATGACTGCTGAGGTCAGTGCGTCTTCCTCTTTAAATAGGGGTCAGGGGCGGAGTTTCACGATACAGTGCAGTGTAAATGTATAATCCTTTATTACTTATACAGTTACATCCATATATATTTGGACACTGACACAACCTGTTTTTTAGTTGTATAATGGACATAATGTGCCGACTCTCAGCTTTCATTTGAGGGTATCCACATTGAAACTGGATGAAGGATTTAAGAGTTTCAGCTCTTTAACATGTGCCACCCTCTATTTAAAGGAACCAAAAGTAATCGGACAATCGTCTGAAAGGCCGTGTGATGGTGTGGGCCAGGGGTCGGCAACCCGCGGCTCTTTAGTCCTTATACTGCGGCTCCGGGTGGTTTGGGAAAATAAATTAGTATTTAGCTGAAGTGTGTTTTATTTG